CTGGCTGTGGAGAAGGCCGCTGGTCAGCCCTGCTTGCCAAGGACCTGGTGGGGAGCCCCTCCGTGGACGCTAACCTGGGAAGCTGGGGACATGGAGGCTCCTGTGTGGCTCCAGGGTCAGACCTGAAGGGTTTGAGAACTGCTCGCCTCCAGTAAGCTGCAGGACAAGTCTGCTCCCAGGTTCCCATCTGTAAAGCAAGGGTGGTCGAAATGATACTTCCTCGGGGACTTGTTGTCAGGACAGGAGAGGTGGGGGGGCTGCAGGGGTGAGGGGTGGGGTTGATGCATGTCTCGTACAACGCACTGCCTGGAGCTCACTGGTATTAACTGTTGGCATCCGGGCAAGGGGGCGTAACCTCTCTTCCTGTCTTGTCCTGTTCATCTTCTGTCATTCCTTCTAATGTCTTTGCGGCAGAGCCTTAAAATCCACATCAACACTTCACCTTAACCAATGATGAAAAGACAGCACCTCTGGAGGGTGAGCCGAGAGGGAGGTGTTCTCTCTGGCTGCTTCCCCTTAGAGACACTCGGGACCTGAGTCACCTCAATCCCTGGTCCCTTCCTAGCCGGTCAGGACCAGAGCTCCCAGCGCAGGCCCCTGTGTGGTCCTGCTCTCTCCCTGCCTGCCGGGTCCCTGCTCCTCACCGCTGCGTTCTGGTCTTTGGCTCCAGGCAGACCCCTTAGCTTCCTGCCCGAGGCTGGGTGCTGGCAGGAAGCGCCGATGTCGCTGGGCTCCTCCGCTTAGAGGGGGATCCAGTTCCATCAGTCATGGGTGAGCAGAGCCCACAGACATTTCTGTTGGGCCCATAATGTAGTCCAGGAGGGGAAAGGGAAGAGAAGGGGCCAGACGACAGGAGCGAAGTGACCGTCTGTGGAGAGGTCACCTCCTCTGGCTCGGATACGAGGCCCTGTTACCCTAATTCACACCAACCTGGGAGGGGGGCGTTACTTTTCAGCTCAGGGAGATTAAGCAATCCCTCCAGTCTAGCAGAATCAGTAAGAGTGGGAGCCAAGGCCTTGCTTTGAAGGCCTTGTTCCTTCCACCAGACTGTGTTTGTCCAGTAACCCAGAGATGGCTGGTTCAAAGGACCAGATACTCAGCCCTACGCCACAGCTTTGTTTAGTAGCAGGAAGCTTTGTGGGTACACAGATCAGACAGTCAGCAATTTCTGGGAGTCTTTATTTCAAATGATCTGTCTCATTGTCCTCATAATCATCGAGGATGTCTTGGAAATCCCAGTCTTTGTGCACTTAGATGGCTCTCAGAGTCTCTCTTCTACCCATAAGTCACAGAGGTTTAGCACCAGCCCAGAGCCCCCGGCTTTGGCTTAGGGCTCTGAGCATCTTGAAAGGCAGGGATCTTTCTTTTTTCATTTGGGATGGAGTGCCCCCCACCCCACATGATGTTTGTCTCCTGCCTCCTCAAAGGCAGGCCTCTGGCCTCATTCATCTCAAAACCCCTAGACCAGGGCAGGGCTACCCAAGGTGTGCTAGAATCTCATGAAAGACCATTACTCGTGGGTGATCCAGCAGAGAGTGAGTGATTAAAGTTGGATGTCAAGAAATAATTCCACATGTGTGTCCAAAGGAGCTACAGAACCAAGAAATTTAACAGTCTTCCATCCCACTGGAGGAAAGAGACCTGTGTTTTCACACACCCTGAGGGGATTCTGACGCCAGCTCACTTGTGAGAACGCTGCCCTCTGGGGCTCCCTCATGCACGTGGCCAGAGCACAGCCTCCATCCCCAGCTGCTGAGTTGATGATGCCAGTCCAGGCTGGGGAGGGAGTGCCATGGAGAGTGTAAACCAGGGGGCCAGGGGCCCAGAGGAAGAGAGACTCAGGGTTTGAAGATGAGATTTGGGCTGATTCCTGAAGGATGTGAATAAGGAGCTTGTGGACGTGGGAGAGGAAACAGGATGGAGACAGGGGTCAGAGCAGGACCGGTCGGAGGGCCAAGAGAAAGGGCAGAGCTTTTCCCTGTGGGTAACGGGAGACAGGTGCTTTTTGTGCTCTGACAGCGCCTTTGCATTTCAGCCGTTTCTGGGACAGGACTCCCCCAAGACCCTGCGCTGAGTCTCTGTTGTTTGCTCTGCTGGAGCCTTTGGAAGGAAGAGTTGGATGTCCAAGTGCAAAGGCACCTTACCTGTGGACTTGCCTCTGCCAGGATCTGGTTTCACAGGCTGGACGCAAAGCCCCAGGCCATGGAGCTAAGAGGAGGCACACCCAGGCCAGAGGGGGTTCCGCAGTCCAGAGTCATGGAGAGGGGGTGGGGCTCCGCTGCTGTGAGAGAAGGTTGGGGGGGAGTGAGTGGTGAAAGGGGTGGAGCCTACCAGTCAAGCCCCTCCTACTCCCCTAGCACCCCTCCCCCTTGTCACACGGACCACCCCTCAGTGTCGGGGTCCCTCTTTGTGGCTTTCATTATGACGGTATCTTGGCATGCGGGACCCCACACCTGCGAAGACCCCGCCAACCCTGCAATTACAAGGTCGTCTCTCAGTTTCTGATTCCGCCCCCTCCGTAGCAGTGATCTGCGTTCCAGCCTCCAATTCGGCCTCATTCATTCCACAGCTGCTGCTGAGCGCGGATGCTGGGCCACGCCGCCCACGACATGTGATCTGAGACATGCACGCCACCACCTCCCCGCCCCTAAAATTCCTCTCCTGACGTCCGGTCATCTATAGAAAGAATGATCAACAAAGGTCCAGACACTGGGATAAAAGAAAAACAAAAACTCGGACGATGAAAAGGTCTCCCCCAGCCCTGCCAGTCAGTGCCCATGAGGCTGGAGGGCGGAAGTGTATCCGGCATGTTGATCGTCCTTGGCCCAAACAGGTTGCCGGGGAGCGGAGGAGGCCCGGAAAGGATGGCAGCCTTGGCTGATGTGGCTATATTAAGATCAGTTACACTGTGCAACAAACATTTGAATCATTCTCAGAACCCTAACTGCTTGGATTTGAATATGCATGAGAAGCTGCCCAGAAATGACTAAAATACATACCTACATATATTTAGTCAAAAAGACAAACAGCTCTGGGGTGAAGAATAACAAAAGGCAATTTTCCACTCTGGTGAAGGGGTGTGGGAAGAGGACAGGCCTTGCAGGGATTAATTGATGAAGACCCATTCACAACCAGCTGCACAGATCCCGGGGCCACATGAGCCCTTTCATCCTCACCACAAGCCTGCAAGGTAAGGAGCGTTTTCCCCATTTACAGATGGAGAAGCTGAGGCTTTAGGAGTTAAGCTCATACCACTGTTCTCCAGGCAGAGTTTGAGCTGGTGTCTCTGGGCCCAAAGCCCTACCCTTTCCATGCAGACTCTGTCTCACACACTGAAAAGATCCCACTCTGACACACTGTGGTTCTATAGTTCAGGCTCTACAAAAACAATGCTTTTTAAAATTAATTAATTCAATTTTGTAAAATGGAGGTACTGGGGATTGAACCCATGACCTCAAGTATGCTAAGTGTAGGCTCTACCACTGAGCTATGCCCCCACCCCCAGCAATGATGACCTCTGCTTCCTGAACTTCTGCACAAAAGGACAGAGTCAGATGGGGTTGTGAGCAGATATCGAAGAGGAGCAATGAGGAAAGAAAGATTTCTTGGAAATTCAGTGATAATTTCAAAAAATTCAGACAATTCGAAAAGTTCTAATTAAAATCTAATTTAAAAATTAGTGAAATGGTCGTAGCTGAACACCAAATCAATAATACAGATGATAAAGCCAAGGAAATCATCAAACATAGGGCAGGAAGGCAAGAGAAAATAAAACACATGTGCACAAAGCAAAGTTACTCTTAATACACATGTAGAATTGGCCCTCAATTTCTAAGTAAGAGTCCTCGGAGGGAAAAAAACCAGAGGTGCAGAAGAGAAAATAAAGCGGTAAGAGAGGCAAATTTTTCTGGGCTAAAGAAAAGACGTGAGCATGACTGAAACATCATGCTGCCCACCAGAAGTTGACACAACACTGTAAACTGACTATTCTTCAATTAAAAAAAAACTGAAAAAATTTTTGAAAAATAAAATTAAAAAAAAAGAAAAAAACTTGAGTCTCAAAGTGAAAAGTCACGGCCAAGTGTTGAATGAGAAAAGCTTAAAAAGAGGCACGTTTTCTAGGAGAAATTTCATGTCTTCAAAGATGTAGAGAAATCCTAAAAGGCTCCTAAAAGAGTGAAAAAAAATCAAATGACCCATAAAGGAAACTAATTTCAGGCAAATTGTCCAGTCCAACTCCCAGTCCCCGGCAAGGGCAAAATAAGGACATGCTCAACCACACACAGGCTTAGAAAGTTTATCATCCGTAGACCTATCCTGAAAGACACACCCAAGGACATACCTCCAGCAAAACAAAAACAGAATCCAAGAAAGAGGATGACATAGTAGCCAAGAAACTAAAAAACTGTACACCAAATCCAGGAATGTAATATAAAAAAGGTCACAAGATGACAACTGTGACATGGACCTCAAGGGCAAATGAAGCAAATTCAATCAGAAAATTTGAAGACTCTGAAAAGAATGTCTCCAAGAGGAAAAACACATTCATCTTTATCAACTACTTGTAGGGAAAAAGTGGATAATCCTAGTGACAATGAGGAGGCAAACCGAAACATGAAATATTAAAAAATTATGCACTGCCCCTTCACCTAGTGGCCTCAGATTCATCTCCTTCCCCGCATCTGTGATGAAAAGTGGTTACATAATCATAATATTAAAAATACTGGTTATTGGTTTAAATTTGTTTAGAATCAGCTGACTGTCAAGACACAGAAGTAATTATAGTCACAGAACAGGGTGTATGTGTTTTCACGGCAAGGCAGAAATCAGAGGCCTGGGGGCCAGAGAGAGGGCAGTAAAGGGGGGAGGGAAGGCAGAGGGAACCACTTTCTAGAGGTCCTAATCTCACCTTTGTGTGGTCAGCAAGAGATGCTGACCAGAGCCGATGTGTGAGAAAGAGAGGTTTATGTAGATTATAGAAAGCAATCAGGGTAAGTGCAGTGCTCGCTTTGGCAGCACATGTAGTAAAAATCAGAACGGTACACAGTCGATCAGCATGGCCCGCGTGCAAGGATGGCACACAAATTCATGAAGCTCTGTATTTTGTGCCCCTCCCCAGCATCCGCACACCCTTTGCTGGTTGACCCCCAAACCACCCCCCGCCGAAAAAAGAGTAACTATAGAAGAAATATTTTAAACGTGCCTGGCAGAGATTGGGGTTACTGGGAAATGTTATTGATATAAGTAAGTAAAACGTCTGTTTCCTAAGGAGGGACAGATTCTTTCATGCAGTCCTATGAGGCTGATGTAACCCTGATACCCACATCCGGAAAGAATGGCAAAAAACAAGAAAACTGTAGGCCAATCTCACTTATGATGTGGAGGCAACAGTCGAATAAAACAGCAAGTGGAATCTGGCCCTGAATTTAGAGAAAAATGCCTTATGAATACATAGGTTTTAGTCCAAGAATGCAAAAGCATGTTAACATTAGGAAATCATTTAATCTTTACATCCCCACCCTGATACATTAAAGAAATATAAAATGTCTGAAAGTCTATCATTTCTGTGGATGCTGAAGAGGCATTTAATAAAATGTAAATGTTCGCTCCTGATTTTTAAACATCTTTTTGAAAGCTAGGAATAGAATGAAATTTTCTTAACTTGATAAAGAACGTCACCCAGAAGCAGACAGCAAACAGACCCGGGAAAAGATGCCTCAATCCACCTGCGCCAGGGAGCCCAGGCCGCACAGTAAAACAGGACCAAGCCGGGCTTGATGAAAGGCATGACGGAACAGAACTGTCCTTTGCAGCTAATATGATTTTTTAAAATTTATAAATCAATGGGGAACAACTGAAAAATCATTAGAACTAATGAGAGAGTTCAGCCAGGCAGTGGTCCTCCAAGCGTGGGCCCTCCAGCTTCCTGGGCTGTCGGTCGGCCAGGCCTCCGGGGTTCCGTCTTCCCTGGGGGGAGCGGCCTTGTGTCAGTGCAGGGCCCCGGGATTCCCCTTGAAATGCAGGTGCTGCCTCAGGACATCCCGAGGGAAGACTATGGATTCACACCCAGAAATGCAGTTCAAGACCCGCCATAAGCGGAGAGGGGACAAGGGGCTGGGAGAAGGGGCCGCGGATGTTAAATACAATGAAACAGTGCCCTGCCTGTCTCCCAAGTAAGATGCCACATCCTGTGTGCTCCCCAAACTTGAGTTCCCCCACTTTGAAGTGAGGCTCTTCCCAGGAGCAGCAGGAACAACGAGGCCTGCGGGTCGGGCTGTGGAATCCACCTCCCCTGCCAGGCCCTTTCAGGCTGTGCTCGGGGGAAGGCTGCTGTAAATCTCCCCTTGTTTACACCGCACTGGGCAGGTGCTGGCTGGGCTCTCAGAAAACCCGCAAGCATTAGAGC